GGAAGCGCTACGCTACGCTGCCGCAAAGTATAACGCAGCCTTACAGCTGCAACAATCGCGAAGTCTGAACGCTGCCCAAGGCATCAAGCGGCATCATTGGCAACGCCCTCTTGTCAGAGAATTACTATGGCTTTGTCACACACTCAAGCTTTGTCTCCTGAACCTGATGATATCAAGCGTAATTGTGAAAAAAATCAAGTTATTCATAAGAATTAATATAATATCTAGGTTTTTCTCAATTTGTCGAAATTTATTATTAACAAGGAAGAAGATCGATTCAATTTTATTGACGACAATGTTAGTTTTTTTTTCACTTCTCCCTATTGTCTGGGTTTTGGATCGCCCATACTGTTGAGGTCATCGAAAGTCGGCTGTTTTAGGAGTATTCCAGTGAATGGAAATTCGCTTTCATGTCGACACTCGCACTTCCTGGTCTGCTGTTTTTCACGTGTTTCACTGGTGTCATCATACTTTCAGTATAGTTAGTTTTACAGTTACTTAGTTTTTATGTGTTTTCAAATGTAATCCGCGATAATTGAATGCTGTCAGGAGTGGGCGGGTACTCATCCATTGTGCCCTTTTTCACGAGTGCACCAAACGGTGAAAGCAGAGAGGGAAGGGGGAAGGTACAAGAAGAGGGACTGGAGTGCTAAGAGGCCTACTTGCAAAAGAAATTGAAAGAAACTGTTAGAATCGATTCATGATCAATTTTAACAATTGTGCGACCTGTGAGGTAGAGAGTTGTGGGGCGCGGGAAAAACATAACAAATCCTACGAAATCATCAGATTACTGGGAATGCGATTCGACGAAAGAATGACTTGAGCTGGCCAGCAAACCAGGTAGATCTGGCACTACTTGATGGGCCCGCAAGGATGGGAAGTTTGGTGGGCCCCAATGGGAGCTGATTTGAGATTCAATATTTCGGGAAGGCGCTCTGTGTCGCTTACGCACAGTTGGGGAATCAAACAACCTCTTTTTAGGATGGAAGTAGTGGGTTCAAACAATAATTGGTATTTAATAAGGATTTGAACACTAGGATAAGGATAAAGGATAAAGTCTTCGCCGTTGATCAATCCCTTTGTGGGATGCGGCACGCATTCTACTTCCATTCAGAATCGTAGTGGCTTATTGAATGCGATGTGGCCTATACAATGACTTGCGGGGGCTTATACAGCCGATGTATTAGGTTGGCGGGAAAGTTGTGTCACAT